TGTGAGCAGCTCCTTYACCCTCTTATCCAGGTAAATTACATGCTTCACCTAAGGTGAGTTGGATTCACCTTCAACTCTAAGGGCAGTTCCAAGAAAGCACCTCTGCCAGGAAGGTGTACAGAATATAACCTYAAAACTCACTGACTTCATGCTCAAAGTGAAGAAGAACTATACATAAAAGGCCAGACTTCACAAGGTGTTCAAAGGTCTTTAGGAATGTAGGGAAGTGGCAGGAGGGAGGGGAGAAATGTTCCTCCAGGAAAGAGAAAGGTGGGTATTTCACATGGGTAGCTGGAGTTGCTCTTGGGAAACACCATGGACTGGATCTGAACCTGAGATTCTACATTAGCAATTTACAAATTAGATTATATTAATACAACCCTGTGAAATAAAAACTGAGGGAAAAGTTCTGTTCTCTGATTTAAAACAGGAAAGAAAATACTCATCATACAAATAATACAAAACAAAGTCTTGGGACAGCTGACAGATGTGCACTTGTACTGACAGCAGCCAAAGGACCAGCCAGTTTCTGAGAATCATGACTGGTTGGGAAAGGGAAATGGATCACCACAAACCCACCCAGGTCAGCCCTGGGCAACAGATATTCTAGCCTTGGGCTTGAGTTGAAAAAGCACTGCTGGTGTCCCAAACATTTCTAGAAGAAACAGCATCTGGGCAAGCAGCCAGCCAGGCAGCAGGCTGCTCTCAAACAGTTTGGGAGGGTTAGCACAGAGCACAGGAAAACTGAAATGTTGTAGAGCAAACCCTGCCTAGTTCATCACATGAGAAGAAAGAAGCCTTCTGATCTTGTGAGGTGTCTGTGGTTTGGTGCCCCCAGCCATGGAGTGCCCACAGCTCATTGGGAAAACAACCAACCATAGATGGCTTGAAAATCTCAGTTTCTATAAATCTGCTTCTAATAACTTCCTATATTAATGACAATACTGTGAAATTTTTGGACAGCTGATCTTTTAACTTTAAAAAAGGAAGAGGATTGTACTAATGGAGCCAAACTAGGACATCATGATGTGTTACTGAAACTGAAGTCCCTTCCTTTGCTTCAGTGRATGCAATCAGATCACACTGATTGTTCCTCATGAAGTTGATGATGTAGATGTTGATCCTCAGTCTTCACAGTCCTGTCAGTACCACTGACTCTGCACTGCAGCCCAAGTTAATCCTGTGCTCATTATCCACTTCAGATGTGGTGTTGGTATTGCGTTTCTCCTGTTTAAGTACACATTCTAGCTCACAAACTACAAATGTCATGAGGAGACAAACTACAAATGTCATGAGGAGAGGGAGTTTATGCCTCTGAATTTCCACAACTAAATATTCCTATCCTGTCAGCCCAAAGAAGACATTTTTGGCACATCTGCCTCAAGCACTGCAGAAGTATTTATCAAATATCTAGATGCATAAAGAGTTCTTCTGCAACAGCAGGTTCATCTGCTGGGGCAAAGAAACAGCATTCCTATAGTTCAGGCAAAAATCTGGAAGGATTAGCATAATCCTAATTTTTTGTTGTTTTATGCCATTTTTTTCAGTCTCCAACCATTTCTCCTTCACAACCCTTGGAGAGGACAGCCAGCTCCCTCATCCTCCAGCTGCATCCACAGGTGAGACTCTGGCCAAGGACCAAGAACACACTCAAAGCACAACATCTTCCACCACAGCCTGCAGGCCACAGAGCTGACCATGCTTGTTCTGCTCCCTCAGAAGAATTAGAATTAGTTTGAATGCYATCAGGCCAACCAAGATGATAACGAGTTGTCCACAGTGTTTTTATCTGTAGTGGGAAATTTTTCACAGTACTATTTTTTTTAATATGGAAAAAAAATCACATTCATAATTCAGAGAACTGTTAAAAAAACTATTGATTAGCTTCAACTTTCCCATGATTTTTAAWGACTCACTTCAGCTCTGACAACGCACTCAGATTGCACACTTCAGAAGTTCTCTTCATGTGCCTCAGATCTGATTTTTAGGTCAATAGATTTTGTCATTGACTTCTGATACAGAAAACCATGAGTACCCACACTGATGTTATCTCCTCAGGCAGGATAGCAAATCTTCATCATTTATAGCACAGTTCAACAGTCCCCTCACAGATCTGCCTTTTCATGTAAATCCCTTCCAACARCTTCTCATTTGGCAACACCAATTCCACCAGCCAGACTCTTCTCAGACAATAAGTGGAAAATAAGACATAGTTGGCAGTACAGTGCAAACCAAAAGGGATGTTCAAAGGAAATAACATCAGAAATTGGCAAGATGGCAGATGCATTTGCCGACTTAAATCAGATTCAGTCAAGAAAAGTTTGCAATGTAAAGATCAAAGTAGGACATTTCCGTACTGTTTCAGCCCTGGTGGCTGATGCAAAAGATGGACGACCATGGGAAGCACAGACAAATGTCAAACCAGCTTCAAAAGCAAGCATTTCCAAAATAAATATTAGGAATTAAATGAATCAAGTTTATAACATAAAATTCCAACATTTTTCAGTTGACAACTCAGTTGCAAGGAAGCTCSACCATCCCCATCTCCAGAGTAACCTAAAAAGGCGGTGGAAATACTTGGGCCCACTGAAGAAAACTAGGTGTGAAGTACAAAATGCACATAGAAAAACAGTCAAGAATAGCCCTGTCCATGCCATTATTCACATCCAAAATGTCAATAAACCCAAGAAAAGCATACAGCCCCATGGTTTCTAAGTATGTCTTGCTGGCAGCACATTGCTCCAAGGACTCTTCAATGCTCCTTGCAAAAACAAGRAATAAAAAGCTAAAGGGAGAGACAGTTACAGGCAGTATTAACTTCTGTGGTTATTTGCTTATTATTTCTGTCCAAGGAACAGTGGCTTTTGGAGAAACATTGGTATAATTTCTTGGAGTTGGTGTAATTCTATTGATAAYCTGTTTTGTACTCTCACCCCACGAGAAAGAAAGAAACTGAGATGGAGGGAAAGGGTAGAGATGGAACATGGTACCCAAGGGACTGGAGTTCAATTTGCTGTTCCAGAACAGATTTACTGCACAATCTCAGGCAAATCTTTTCAGCCTAAAGKTATTGAGGCAATGCTTCCTGCACAAAGGCCACAGTGACCTGGGCAAAAAGAACACATGTCTGTGCCCTGCAACATCTACCATATGCATACACCCTGGAGGAAGTAGGAATCCATTTCCAAATGTATTAGCAGAACCACAGAAGTTGTAATTCCATGTGAAAACCATCCAATTAGAATGCAGAACCTCCCGCCCCAGAGACCAACTCTCCAGCTTCTTCTAATGAAAGGCACTGGAACAGGGAGGCACATGGGTTGGGCATACTGGTTGAAAACTACAATTCCTTTGTCATTTAGGAGTGCATTTATTATTGAACTGAGGCCTGGCTTCACTGCTTTGCATTTGAGAAGTTACAAATGTGARAAGAGTAGTAATTTATAAATGCTTTTCATTTACATTTTCATTTTATAAACCATTCTCATTTTTTGTCATTTTTACATGCTACATGAGGCCTTGGACCTTTAGAGTCTCATCCATACTTTGGCTTTAACGCCTGTTCTATTTTATCATAACTCTTTTTTTCTAAATGTAAGGTGCCCACACTCAGGCAAACACTGGAAGGAAGAAGGAACAAGCTCCCCCTCTTACAGTCAACACCTGTGCTGAGGAGAAGAGCACAAGGCAAGGAGTAGCCATCAACAGGATCTTCCTCCCCCTTTCAGCACAGATGAACAAAGAAGAAGAATTTTGGCTCTGCCCCAGTTCTAAAAGTAAAGAGCAAGTAAATCTTGAGCAAGTGAATTTGCCTTACACTAAATGATCTGGGCTGGATATAGGGAGAGCACAGAACTTTTGCTTCCCCCCCGAGGCAGAAGTGCAGGCTCACACTCTGCTCTCTGAATGGCTCTCTCTGCTCAGTCCTGGTGCTTCTCTTACCCTCAGCCAGCTGTCCACATCAAACAACTGCAACATTAAAACCTGCTTCTCAAAACAGGAATGCACATGGCTAGGAGAAACCACAGGAAAGGAAAGACTAAAGGGAAAAGTATTTGATTCCCTTCCATTCTCAGATAGCCAACATACTATCTCCATACATGTCATGTTCTTGGCACAGCAAACGAACAACTTCCTATGACTAAATAAATAGAAATACAACTGACTCCTACTGGCTYGTTATGCATTACAATTAAGCAATCTCAAACTTACAAACCCTAAAGGCTATAGTAAGGAAATACAGGCTGGATAACCTGCTCATCATAAAAAAATATAGTGCTTTTCTCACTAAATAATTGCTGTGCAATAATTAGTGTTGTGATAGTGTGACAGTTTAGGATGTCAGGGACAAACAATAATAATCTGAGTGCTGAACATGCACTCCAGAGCAGAAAGCTGCAGCCAGTTTTAAAACACACAGCTTTGACAAATGGAACACAGGGGGCTGTTTTGCTCATAAAGCTCAGAGTCTTCTGCAACTTTTCATCAATCACTTGATTAGGCAATGAAACTCACCAAGTGAAATATCCAAGAAAACAGACTCYGAATAAATTAAAATTTTCCAGGGCAAGACCATATTTTACCTATCAAATTTGTTTCCAGGGTAGTCCAGCCCATTATTTGGGATTAACTCTTCCTAACATTTACCCTTGCAAGCTGGAAGTGAGAAATGGAAGAGGATGCTGAGAACTTGCCACTTAACCATCTGTTTTAGAGCATCAGACCCCTCAAGAAACTTTACCACGAACCAACATAAATGCTGATTTCAGCTGCTCTGCTCCAGAGTAGCTACCTCAGAGCATGTGCTTAAACTTCTAGTGCCACTGTCTGTACGGCAGCGCCTGGTGCAGCGCAGCTATTCCCACACAAGGGAACATTAGTTAATTTGCATTCACAGTTACCATACGAGGTGTGAGTTTCTGACAGTCCACACATTTTATATTTAAAGACTGGAGGAAATTAATATMATTATCTTTGATATAATAACAAAAGTAACTTACCAGCCCATCGCAATTGCTGATAGCGACTGAAGCGTTTGGCAGATCAGTGATATCCCCAACATAGAGGCAATTCCCATAGAGAGGTTCGATAYGAGTCTCCTCAGAGTCCTCCTGCCACTCAACTGTTGCTCCAGGGGCCACGAGCCTGGAGTTTGGCCGCAACCTGAAGTGAAACTCTCTTCCAAAAACAGTGACATTGTAAAATATTTGCTCATTTGCTGCTTCATGTTGCAAGTCCTCCGCAGCTCTCCTGAAGCGTGCTTTTGGCGGTCCAGACACCAAGTGGGATAGGAACCTGCCCTCGGAATCGGTGCTGGTGGGGATGACAAGGCTGTACTCCTCTATATTCCTCAGGATTGAATCTTTACAGGGAGAAAACAACAGAGGACAGAGATACTAGAACTAAACAYATCCTGATGCCGCGGGATTTTTATTCCATTATTCATTAGCACAACAGACACTTACATAAGGCAGATGGACACTGCACTCTGTGCAGGCACTTGGTTCACCTGCATGAAGTATGCAGAGTTCACTCAAACTTGCCTTTTCCGCCCCAAAATACCAGCGTGAGCCTCCCCACCCCGCCAGGACCCCGCACTCTCGCCCCTGCAGCGGGGTCCCGCCTCCCTTTGCCCGCCAGCCGGGACCCCGCACCCCTGCACAGCCGCTCAGTGACCGGGGCGCCTCGGGGACTTTGGCGGTTCCCGGGTGGTCAGCGTTGAAGAGACGATGTTGATTCACTTCGGGACTGCTCGCACGGGCAGGGGTAGGGGCTGGGTTTGCAGGTGGCAAGCCCGCAAGGTAAACGCACGTCCCTCAAACTACCCCCGGTGCGGCGGGTTTGAGGCGGGCGGTGATGGGAACGCCACGGGCAGCGATCGGGAGCGGTCTCAGCGGGAACCCCGGGAGTTTTGGACGGAGGCGATGGCCCGGGCAGGAGGAGGAGGAGGAGGCAGACGAGCTGCCATGTGTTTCATCCCGCACGGGGAACTCCAGGCACCGCGCCCTGTCCGCCGGGGCTSGCCCGCTCCGCGGGGCAGGCAGCGGGAGGCGCGGGGCTGCGGGCACCGGCGCAGCGCTGTCACTGCCGGGCGCTCCCGCGTCCCTTCCCCGCCGGCGGCGCGGCTGCCCCGSTCCCCGTCCCCGCCTGCCTCTTGCAGGAAACAACTGGAAACCCGGCAAAAGTAGCCGCAGAAGAAGTTCAAGGGGAGCCGAAAGCCGCGGGGCGACGAGCCGCCACTTGGGACGGGCGGGCTGCGGGCACCGGCCGGCGGCGGCGGGGCAGGGCGAGCAGCCCCGAAGGCGTCCCGGCGGAGACCTACCTCTGTCCCCGGGGCGCCGCAGGGCGCCGGCGGGCAGGGCGAGCGCGCAGCAGAGCAGGACGCAGGCGATGCCCGCGGGAGGGTCCATCGCGGCGGCCCCGGCCCGGGGCCCGGGCTGCCCGCAGCCGGGGCGGGCCAGGGGAGAGCCCCGCTCCGCGCTGCTCCGCGCCGCTCAGCGCTGCCCCGCGCCCCGCCGCCCGCGCATTCGCCCAGCCGCAGCCGCAGCGGCAGTGGCGGCCGCGCTCCCGGCTCGCAGCGAAGCAGAGACACCAGGAGGCGGCGGGGGTATAGTACTGGAAGCACAGGGCGTGCGGAGTGAAGTCAGGCTGATTGACAGAGGCGCTGCCACACGGCGCAGCCGGGCCGCGGGGAGCGGGGACGGGCCGCGGGCAGCGGGGACGGGACCGCCCGCCCCGCCGGGCAGCCCCCGCACCGCCCCCGCCGGGCCCCGGGCAGCCTCGGCCGGCACCGCCCGCCCCGCGCCGCGCCCCGCTCCGGGACGGGCCCGCCGGCGGCCACGGGAGTTGGCGGAACGCGTGCGGAGGCGAAAAGAAACGCCCCGCGCCCGGCTCGGGAGCACCCGGGCATGGGGCAGCGTTCCGGCACCGAGCCCTGCGGGCTGCGCCGTCCCGGCTGCGCATCCACGTGGAAACTGCGGGTCAAGGAACCCCAGAAACAGGCGAGGGAAACTTAGGGCACCKCGGCATGAGTTGTGTTGCAGTCTTGGTTTCCAGCTGACAGCGGGGACTCAAATGGAAAAAGTGCCACCAGCAGAGGCAAATCACGATCAGAGATCTTYATCTGATCCAATAAATTACTCTAAGCAGCCATTTCATAGGGAAAATTGTCTGGATTATTTGCTAAATATGACTGAAATTGCTTCCTGCAATCTTATATTAAATATCTGCAATTGGAGAGATAGACCCTTAAAGTCTTTAGGAATACTATAAATACAATATACAAGAATTTTTAAATAATTAAATAATCAAGAGCAGCCTTTATGGTAAAAAACAAGTTATATTTGTTTCCATATGGCCAGGATTAATGCCATACYGCTTATTCCCTTCAGATAATGTATATATTTACTCAGTTTTAACATTACTGGGATCATCTGCCGTTTTCACCACTTTACTCTTTAACCTTGCAGAATCCTATTAGCCCTTCTCGTGTTCCTGCTGGCCCTACCAGCCCAYGGCCTTACCTACCCCAGGCTGATTCTCACTTCTATCTGCATGTGTTAGACCTCTCTGGAAAGCTGCAGGCAATGGCTTCCTGAGGGAAGCTGGTCTTCTGCCAAGGAATTTTCCTGGTACCCTTGACTATTCTTGCTCCTTTATGACTAAGGGTCCAGCTATTACCTTCCACTCCTATATTATGGACACAAATGAAGGGTATAGAACAAGAATAACAGCCAGCCAGTCCTGTTCCCTGCCCATGGTGAGGTTTTATGGACCCCAGCCCTGATCAGTTGTGGCAGTATATGATTTCTGCTTGCTTGGTTTGATGTTCTGGTCTGGCTTTCCCATCTTTTAGGTTAAGGATAAAAAGTGAAAGATAGTTCTGAATGATAAGGTAGATCAACTGGTGCATTGCATTCAAACATCCTTTTTCTTACCTTTTCCAATGACCTCTATTTGGAATTGCTGTCTGCACCAGGCTTCTCCCAGTTCTTCCTTTTGGTTTGGTTTTCTGTTGGCTCATTTTTTTTGTTTTGGTTTGGGTTTGAGTCCATATTGAGCAGCTTCTCTTATTTAAAATCTCATACGCTTTCATCAGTACACAGCTGGTAAAGTTCCAACTTCTTTTTTATTGGACTTGTATTTTAAGCTGATGATGTGGCTTTTTTATGTTTCATCCATCCCATCCTGCTCAAATTGAAATAACTTCTGCACATAAACTTAAAAGGGAGAGGGGTTGGCCCTTTAAATTTGAAATCAAAGTTCTTATTCGTATATGATTAATTAAAAAAAAACAAACAAAAAAAGGAGACAGAGTAGATTATAGAAATACAAAACAACCCGGCCAATAGTTCTACTAATTAAGATGGATTTTTACTCTTAAAAATACCGGAGGTTAGAAAATATGCCTTAATATGGATAACAGCTGTACTGCAGAGTAATGATATAAACAAAAAAATCAGTAACTGCCTTCATGCTGTTTATTTCTATACAGAAACCAAGTTCTATGTGCACATTGTTACCTTATCACATGAAGACAAAAGTTTCAAGGCTCCAGGGCTTGGGAGGACTCTTTCACAACCTCCTTTAAAATTTTAAACAAAACCAAACAGAGAACAAGTGTCAGACAATGGAGCCAGATCTGCAGTTGGTAAAAACTCTGCTGCCACTGCACTCATTGGAATAAATCCTGATCCTCACTGAAGTCAGTGAGAGTTTTGCCACTTCTGCAACAGATTCTCATTGTGATCTAGACCAACTGAGAATATGCCACATGGCACAGCAATGGGGCCATTATCCTWCCAGAAGAAAAATGAATCCATATTTGACCCTATGGAGCTGGGTATGCCCACCAGCACAGGGCCCAGAGGAGTAGAATTCAAGAAGTTCTTACATCCTTACTCTTACACCACTGTAACAGAGAAATTCAGGGAAATACTCTCCTCAAAACTAGTCCTTCCTCATTTCCTGAACTGGGATTCTTGACACAGACAGACRAGGTTGTGGCCTGGGTTTCCTTAGTGGGGCATTGCCATGGCTCGCTTCAGCACAATGCTTCAATACTTTTTAGAATTAACTAGAAAAAACTCAATACAAAATGCATGGACTGCTACATTAATTATAGTCCACAAACTTCTAAATTAATTGATGTGAAAATGAAGTAATTTCATATTTATTTTACTGGAATGAAGGGAGAAGGACTAGATATTGCAACTGTGCTCAGATAGTTTGATCTGAGATTGTGCTGCTGCCAGCCATGACTACAGTCACACAGATGTTTGCCTTCACTGGATAGAGGTATATAGAATGGAGAAAACTATGCTCTGTGTGTCCTGAATGAATGYCCAGGTTGAAGGCAAGGTGTTCTAGCAGCTGAAATACCTGAAGTAACTTTAAACAAGCCAGCAGAGGTATGAACAGCCCTGTAACTGAACTGGTATGGAGCTCAGCACAGGCTGTGGAGTATTTATTGGATTTACAGATCTTCTGATCTGCATCAAGTTTGTGCTATCTGTTCCTGTTTCAGCTAGGGTATATCTGCATAAACTGCAGCCAGACCTTCCCTTGGAGACGTTCTCACAACGTTTAATTTTGCTTAGGAAAATGAAAAGATCCTAAGCTTAATCACCARTACTGCTCAGAAGGTGCTTAAAACACATATAACTGCACATTGCAATGAGAAATCGACTCTATCTGAAATTTCTAAGATTTCTCACTGTTTTTTAAGGGGAGATCACTCTTTTCCTTATGTTAGTGGGGCTGTGAGGAGAGATGCTGGACTGCAGCACTGTGCCTTCTGCAAAGGGCACACCATCACTGAGCAGGTCACTTCGAGTCGGCTTATGGCCCAAAGCAGACCAAGCTCTCTGCTGAGAGGTTCCCCAAAAGGGGAATTCTCATTCCTGACCTCCTGATGGGGAATATGGTGCCTGTCTGCACAAGGATTGTGTGCTGCCTGTGTTTCTCATGCTGATGATTGTCTTTGCTCTCACCTTTGACTACCATGAACACTTTGTGGCTATACAGTGTTATAAAGCTTCATAAAAGAAAGGAAAAATTAAAATAGTGTGCCAGTTCATTTCCTTCACACTTGACATTTCCAGACTTCGTATTGTTTGAGCCCTTTTGCCATTATGTGGCACTATCTAGGAAAAAAAAAGCATGTATTTAATGCTGATTTTGAAGCAGTGCAAGCTAAAGAGCAGTAATTAAAATTGGAACAGTCCTATCTTCCCCCCTTTACTTTAGCACAGTAATAAAACAATCCATTGCAGAAAAAATAGACCAGTGGAACTATTAATAAATTATCAAATTATTCAGCTCTTGCTAATAATTTCACTTCCACTTCTTTTTTCAGAAAGTGTCAAAAATATTCTAAGGTAAGTGAAAATGAATTAAATAAAGCAATAAAACTCAGGCTAGTCCCTTAGACTSTTGGAGTAAGAAATCAGGTAATATTACAAAAGATATTAACATCTTTAACTAATAAAATCCTGCCTTCAACAGGAAACTACTGACTGAAGGCATAAAGGAAGGGCATCCTCTCTGTCTGCTCATCCTGAGATTTCTGAGAAACAGCTCCTAAGCCCTTCCCAGACAWGCTCAGTGTGCCCTGGCTCCTGAGGTAAGTCTCTCTCCAAGGAGACTTTGTGATTCTGCTGAGCCAGGAGCAGCACAGGACATATCCCAGAACTTCAAGGGATAAAGGAACTTCACGTAGAAAAGCTTAGGCAGTTCTACATTTTGAAGCCTGTCACTGTTGGACGAGTGGAGTTAACTCTCACTTTAGCTGTCTAAGATTCAAGTATCCATTCTTCCAAGACAGAGCAGAGCAGCAGGCATTGTTCCCAGCCCTGCTCTGTGTGTCCCTGCAGCCTGGGACAATTCACTCTGAGAAATTAATCTGTGAGATGCTGCTCACACAGGGACCAGCTGCAGGCACCTGCTCGGGTCTGTGGTCATTGATAAGACAGATTCAAATTCCTTCTGTGCTGGCCCASAGCTTCTGTCTGACCACAACCTTGCACCTGAACTGTCCACACACACATTGGCACCCAGACCCAGGGAAGGAAGTAACAGAATTGCAGGGATGGATCCAACTTTCCTTCAGCACCTTCAGTCACTTTGTCCTKATTTTGTGGCCCATGGTAGCTATTCCATCTTAATTCTCCTTTAGTATTATGCTGACAGAGAAAATGCAAATTTTCATTGTTACCACCTCTTCCACTAACCATCTGTATTTACCTGCTAYTGTAATTGTCTTTTGATAAATAGTACAATCCCTCCCCTATGTTTTCACCTTGGTTCTTTCTGTTCAGATTTATTGCCTCACTATTAATATTCCAGCCACATGATTTATCCCAGCATGTTCCCGGAATACTTGCCTTCTCTATATAAATATTTGAATTATCTTAATTTTGACTAATTAGTACTGGGACATTTGATTTCCCTCTTGAAGTATTCTCATTTGCTACTAACCAGCTCCTTTCCAGTGTAAGAGACAGCTATTTTGAGGGGAGAGAATAGTCACTGAATGAACCAAACACTTCTCAAATACTGTTCGATCCTTCTTCATGTTGTTCATGTCAATCTGATGCCAAAATAACTCTCCTAGGTCAGAAATCTCAAAAACATCT